CATTGTGCTTAAATATCCAATTGTTAATTAGTTCAGATTTTTAAAATACTGTGTAATCCTTAAAAGAATAGAGTTACTCATGGAAATGGGGTGAAATCAGGCTTGTGTCACAGTCAACTGGAAGTTCATCGCATACTCCATGGAGGCCAAGATTTCTGGCCTGCAGTGGGCAGGGAATGAGACTGCTCTCTGCAGGTTTAGGGTTTATGAACTTGCTTATTACAAAGAATTATTCAATGACTGGTTTATGGTGATATATTGTAGCTTAGAGATGGTTCACAAATTACTTGTTGCAGTTGTTATACTCAAGAGCATCAAATTGCTGTTCTCTGCTTTCTACTTGGTCACCCAAATTGCAAGTTACCGTGTTGTGCTTCCCAACTGATTGATTCCAGTAAGTGTTTTCAAGGTGGCTCTGCAAACACTGCTGGCAAAAGCCTCTTACATTTCTCATCCATAAAAATATTTACTTGACTTTTCCCAGCATAACTGGCTGACTTCTTCAAATTTTTGTCTAAAGAGAGTTAAAAGAGGAACAGAGAGAGTCAAAGCAATGTGCAGTATGTCCACATGCATTAGGAAGAACATGAATGTGGTGCTAGTGGAGCTCCAAGCTCTGCAGATCTTTGCTCTGACATTGACTTTTACCTTGTGATGAATTATTTCACTGATGTATTGTTTACCTTTTATTCATAGTTCTTGTTCTTGTGTAGTGAGTAATGATGAAGTCCTGGGAAGTGCACCTGGTCAACAGTAAAATGTTGATAGGAGGTTTTCTAGGCAAGAGGCCAGAAACAGAAAACATATAAGAAGCTGTTTCACCTTAAAAAATGTATTCTTGACAGAGAAAAACCCTTTAGTGGCAAAGTTACTCAAAAATAATATTTAGCAATTTGATAGCCTCTGATTATGAAAGTTTTATTCATAGGCTTTAGAAAACAGCCAGCTCTCCATCTTAGATACTGCCCAAGTGTGAACATTCAGGAGCAGGAGTCTCTCAGAGCTGCTGTAGTCACTTGGAGAAGGCTATCCAAAAGAGTGATATTTAATAGTGATTTTTTTTCTGATATTAATTAGCTGTACAACAATATTTACTGGTAGTTAAAACACATCATAAGAAGAACTGAGCTGTGTGTTGATATTCATGTTTTAGGAGTGTGTGCTAAACATCTTACAAATGCTTTGGTTGTTACGCAATTCTAAAGTCTCATCTGAAATGCCTTTATAAATATTTAAGTACACTACAAAGTAGGAGGAGATCCCTAGGCTGGACTGCTATCCTGAGCTGTCCGGACAGTTAGCTGTCCATCCTGGGCATGACTGACCACCCGCTGCAGGCAGTAGGGTTTTTTAACAAAGTATGAAAATAACCATCTGGAACCATGTAAATCCTGAAGCTGCATCCACACACATTCAGTGCACAAACAGCACTTTTCACACATGTTGCTGCTCAGTGCTCAACTCCACTGGCAAGACACATTTGTATTACGCTGTTCGTGCTGCTGCTTCTGGGCAAGTGGAATCCATGCTCCTCCAAACTGGAGGCTCTTTAGGAAGAGTTAAAATTGATTAGGGGTAAACATAAAATGTCTAAGATGGCATGTTCCATGAAATATGGTAAAATGTTTTTTCTTAACCCTAGTCTTATTTTAATTTTATTTTCTCCTGGTTGACTCTCTTATCATCATTTTCCTCCTGTTGCTTGCCTTACATCAGGGGAGAAGGTCAAGTGTTTTCCTCCAATGGCCATCTCCATATGGTTTGACTAACCAGACCTTGGTGCAATTGTATGTCATTGTCCTCGCACGTACGTTTGCAATTTTCAGAAGTACACCGGTCTTACCTGGATTTCAGAGTGTCTAAGATGAATAAAATGCTATTATTAATCCATTTTTTCTACTTTAATTTGGGAGTTATCTGCTAGGTGCCATGTAAGACCTGAGAGAGAACAACTTGAGGGGAAAAATCACTGGGGGTTGCGTTTAATTGCTCTCTCTGAAGCTTGGCATGCCTTCATAAAATGCACTGTTTTGATATTCCACTGAGCATAACCAGAAACTAATGAAATACATCATTAGACTAGAAATAAATCAGTAGGGTCATGCTTTTGCCCTCCATCGTCTTATCTTCCTTTCCAGAGGTGGCTGCTGCAATGATTGTTGGATCATCAACAATAATCAAGAATCTCTGTCAAATGTAGTGTTTTCTTGGAAAGGCCTGTGTGGCGTGCAGACAGTACTTTCCTCTTTCCATCAGGCTATACCCAATAGGCTTAGAGTAAGTTCTTGCCTCCCTGAGTGCCAAATCGCTATGGCTGGAGTAACTAGGAGCATTAGTCATCCTAGAGGAGAGTCTGGAAGGAAAGAAAAAGCCTCATCCACGTTTTCCACTTTGGTTCCAGTTCAGCACTCTGTGTGCCAGCAGTACAGCCTAGATTTTCCAGGTCGACCCACTGCCTCCTCAGGCAAGATCATTTAGTTTCTAGCAAATCTGACATATACTTGGTCCCCTTGGCTCCCAAGGAACATAAATGGATAGCAAGCAATTGCCCAATGGAGAGCTGTGTCTTCAAAGCACCTTGCATAAATTATTACTTTATAGGTAGAAGGAAATTATTTGCTGTGCTAATGTATTGTCTTTAGGTGCAATGACTGTGTGTGAAATAGGCTCAGTAAGGGTAGACCTTTTGAAAAATGCCTGCTTCCTGTTCAGAAGTTACTGATATTTAAAATCTGATGTGATGTTTCTAGGAAGGTTTCAAGAAGCATTAGCAGAAAGGTCATCTGCATGGAGATGTCCAGAGGCATTGCTGCTCTTCCGTTGAGCTACACTGCCTTGCTGGAGGATGAATGGTGGGAAAGTACATTTAGTTTCCTTCTAATAATCTTGTATAGGACTTTAGGACTGAGATGTGTTGTGAAAACACTTGTGCTCATAAGAAGTGTTTTACTTCCCTACATATACCAAGATTTGCTTGTCCAAGCCATTAGCTCAAAAAAGTCATAGAACTGTGTACATATACAAAAAAAAAGGAGCCTGTCAGCTGTTTTGGAAGCATGAAGCTGTGAGCCTGGATTTGCAGGGATGTTCTCATCTTGAGTGGAGCCATATGAGTTTCAAACAATAAGGCAGAAGCAGAATAGCTGAGCTTTCTGCTATTAGTTAACTGCCCTGTCATGTGATAGAGTCTGAGGGTGTTTCTAAGTAGAGGGGCATTTGAAGTGATTGGGTGGTGGTTTTTGTTTGGGGGTTTCTATTGCAGTCAAAGGAACTTATATTTGAAAACAAGAATAAAGGGTGATAAATTGGTAAAAGTAGCAGTTGAAAGATATTATTTCATGGAAAATAGCTTTACATTCCTATTTAAGTATGGTTGATAAAATTCTATTACTTTCTTAAAATAATTAACTCAAATGAGCATTTAGTTTTGAGGGAAATAAATAAATGGCCAAACTTTCAGGCACATTAATATTTGATTTGGAGATAACTGCATAAATATTGAATTTGAAGATTACATTCCAGAGCACAGCATTAAAATTGCAAGACTTTTCTATTATCCTTCATAATGGAACATGAAATTAGAAACTTGTTCAAGGAAAGAAAAATTTCTCCACTCTCACCTACACATTTTATTCACGGTTATGTTAACAGAGGAGCTCTTCTTCTCATCCTGTGAGGAGAGACATAGCTTTCTGTGTCTGAGAGGACACAGAGCCTGAAGTCATTTACGGTCCTTTTGAAAATTAATATGCACCATTTCATAATCGCGTCTCAGTTCTTTGATTGGAATAGAACAAAACCTTGGCCAAGGTCTTAGCCTACAGGGTTAACACATTTCCAGATGCAGGAGTCCAGAGAGCTTTGGTGGTGTTCCTTTACTTTTATTTCTTTTCCCCTTCCTTTGGTTGCATGTGTTTGAAGACTGTTAAGATGTCTTCCTGACTTCCTAATCCTAAAACATTTCTAAGAACCCTGGTGTAGTTCTGTGTCACTCAGGAAGGAAACACGGGTCTTATGGTGCTCCTCGCTGGACCACCTGTTAGCCTGCAGCTCTTACATCCAGTGACACCTGTGGTCGTGTGGATGTTAGTAACTATAAAGGTCTGGTTAGCTAGCATTTTTTGCTGCTCAGAACATGTGGGATGTATTCAACACAGCAACTCACTGTTATTAACAGTGCTTAGCCCACTTTGTGAAGGCGTGTGCTAATTCATGGCTGCCCTGCTTCCCTGTCTGGGAAATAATTCTGAAAATAGAATAACAAATAAGAACCTGGGTCAGACAGTCTCAAAACATGTGTGGGTATCCAGTCTAAAGTGTTTTCAAACACAGACGGATTTTCCAACTGTCTTTTTCTTCTTACAATGGTCTCAAATAATTCATTTCAATAACTTCACAGTTCTGCAGTTGCTTCTCTTATTCATGGTTCAGCAATAACAAAACGTTCTTCTCTATAGACTTGAAAATGGAACTCACTCTACAGCAAAGAGCAATGCAGTAGTAGTTCTTCTGAATTAACTATACCCCAACAGAAAAATTTACGGAATAATAAAATAGAGAAAACCGGTCATTTTACCTTTATGTTCAGTTTGCTGCTTTTCAAAAACTGTGAATTTATTTAGAGACAGAAGCCTATTACACAGATTGTGTTCTGTTCCTGTTCATGTTATGGTTTCTTCTGCAGTGGTTTGGTAAGAGTTAATGAGCGTTAATGGCTTTTCATGCCATACAGCTCTGTAACTTGCACAGTTCTGTCTTAGGACAGCAGAAGGTATAAATGATGTTTGAAAGCAATCTGTTGATCTTTGCCTCTATAACAGAACATATAACTGATTAATCATTTATTAGACCTCTCTACATTATTTATAAGTAGAACAGCAATATAAGCAAATGACCTTTTTATCCTTTTTTGTTTGAGAAAGTAGCTTCTTTGTTTATAGAGCTAGTGATGATAACAAAATGTAAATGAACTTTTAATGACTACTTTTGTATGCCCTCAGATTTATCAGAAAACAAGGACTGGATCGGCTTTTCCTGGAATGTGATACCCACATGTGGCGCCTGGGGTATCGGAAGATCCCAGAAGGGATCGCAGTCGATGGAGGGTCAGACTGGTTTCTCCTGAACAGGAAGTTTGTGGAGTATGTCACTTTTTCTAATGACGATCTGGTAACAAAGATGAAGAGG